TAAGATGAAGCACAAGTTGTTGGGTCTGGCACCTCCTGCAACCAAGAAAGAGGCACTATGCCCAGTGGGCCTACTGGATCTTGAACACAACACCACTTGCCTCATTTGGGGGTGTTACTCTGGCCCATTTACCAAGTGATCCAAAAAACTGCTAGTTTTGAATGTGACCCAGGAGATGGCCCTGCAACAGGTCCAGGCTGCTGTGCAAACTGCTCTGCCAGTTGGGCCCTAGGATCCACTGGTACTTAAGGTGTCAGTGATGGAGATGGATGCTGTTTGGAGCAAGGCCCTGCCATCATCCACAGATAACTACTCTCCTTTTGAGAGGCAGCTCTTGGCTTGCTACTGGGCCTTAATAGAAACTGAATGCTTGACCATGGCCATCAAGTGACCATGCCACTGGAGCTGCCCATCATGAACTGGGTGTTATCTGACCCACCAAGCATATATTTGGGAGAGCACAGCAGCACTCCATCATCAAATGGCAGTGATATGTACATGATCATGCCCAAGTAGGTCTTGAAGGCACAAGTGAGTTATGTGAAGAAGTTGCTCAAATGGCCATGGTTCCCACTCCCTTCTCTCTCGCAGCCCATATCTATGGCTTCATGTGGAGTATTTTATGATCAATTGTCAGAGGAAAAGAAGACTCGGGCCTGGTTTACAGTTGGTTCTGCATAATATGCAGGCACCATCTGAAAGTGGACAGCTGCAGCCCTACAGCCCCTTTTTTGGGACATCACTGAGGAACAGTGGTGAAGGAAAATCTTCCCAAAAGACAGAAGATTCTGGCAGTGCAACTGATTATGCACTTTGGAAGGAGAGATAGTCAGACATAAGATTATATACTGATTCATGGGCTGTAGCCAATGGTTTGGCTAGATGATCAAGATCTTGGAAGGAGCATGATTGGAAAATTAGTGACAAAAAAATCTAGGTAGGGTGATTGATCTGGACTACCAAGGGGAAATTGGGCTGCTACTCCCTAAAGGCAGTAAGAAAAAGTAAGTCTGGGGTACAGGGGATACCTTAGGGTGACTCTTAGTATTACCATGCCATGAGATTAAGGTCAGTGTGAAACCATGACAAATCATTCCAGGCAGGACTATGAATTGCCCAGAAACTTCAGAAATGAAGGTTTGGATCACCCCACCAGGTACAGAAACACAATCAGCTGAGATGCTTGCTGAAGGCAAAGGGAATACAGAATGGGTAGCAGAAGAAGGTAGTTGTAAAGACCATGTGACCAGTTACAGAAACAAGGACTGTAATTGTCATGAGTATTTCCTTCCTACTTTGTTAAGAATATGTTAGTGCTTGTATACGCATTTATTAAGCATTTATCTTTGCTTTTATTTCCTCTTCTAGTCCTTTGTCTTGTAACATAATATATATTCACTTTATATCAATATTTAACTACTGTCAATTTTACATCATAGTATTTAAGTTATGGGATATCAGGAGAAGACTAAACATCATCCAAGAACTTTACCTCTTTTTCTAGGAAAGGCATTAGTGTATTTTTGGTTGTACTCAGGATAGTTGTACTATGTGGAGTGGAAGTATGGCCATGTTATTGCTTTTAGTTGAAGATTAAGGAGATGTGTAAGAGTGCCAAGTTGACAAGGGGTGGACTTGTGATGGCTAATTTTAGGTGTCAACTTGACTGGATTGAGGGATGCTTAGATGACTGGTGAAGCACACTTGTTTGGGTGTGTCTGTGAGGGCATTTCCAGAGAAGATTGAGGTGTGAGGCATTGGACTGAGAGAGGAAGACTCTTCCTCAATGTGGGTGGGTACCATTCAATCGACTGGTGGTTTGGCTAGAACAAATGGGCAGAAGCAGCAGGGTTGGCCCTCTCTCCTCGCTCTCTCTTTCAGAGCAGGTCACTTGTTTTTCTCCTATCTTTAGACATCAGCCTCCAGGTTCTTCAGTTTTTGGATGCTGGGACGTGCACTGGCAGCCTTTGTGGCTCTTGGACCTGATTAGGGATTGTACTGTCAGCTTCCCTGGTCCTGAGGCTCCTGGATTGGGACTGAGCCACACTACCAGCTTTGAGTCACACTAGGGCTTCTCTGGTTCTCCAGATTGCAGCTGGCTTATTGTGGGAGTTCTCCGCCTCTGTGATTGTGTGAGCCAATTCCCATAATAAATCCCCTTCCATATTTCCTACTGGTTCAGTCTCTCTGGAGAACCCTAATACAGTTGGGTAGTAAAATAACAACCCAAAGGATAACTGCTTCCAACTTGTAGGGCATTGCCTTCCAGTCTTTTTTCTAGGCATGTTTTGGGATTTTACCTACGAACCATTGTGGAATTATTTTTAAATGCTATTTTTGAACACAGAAAAGGGAAGATATCTCACTAGCAGAGGGAGACAGGCTACCAGAAGGAAAGGAATGTGATTTCCTAGCAGTAATTGCTAGCTTTCTGGGGATGATATATCAGTGCTCTAAATAGCTGTTCCTGGTGCCCTAGCACCCCTCCCCTCTGAGTAGGGGTAGGCAGGGGTCATTGACCCCTGTCAAGTACAGAGTGTGGGCTGGAATCCCTAGGTGCTTTGGAGTCATCCCCATGCTTTGCACAAGGACAATGTTTTTTTCATCCAAGAGATAACAGGACTCAAGAATGGTCCTGGAAAAACAGAAGCGACTTGAAAACTTCCCAACCCACTCTCAACCCATCTTTTTTCTTTGAAGTTGAGTCCCCAACACCCTATAGAGGGGGCTCAGTGGCTTATGCATCCCCTTTCTCACCGCCTACCTGAGAAGGAGGAGGATGCTAATTAAAACAAGTGGGTAGCCCACAACAGGGCACCTTGGGCACAGGTTTCTATAGAAACTCAGTCCTTCCTTCACCTTTCAACACACCACACATCCTTCTCGTCTCCTGACAAACTCTATTCCTGGAGACACGAGTGGCTCTCTGATCTGTCCTACCACTGTTTCTGCACCACACAGTAAACCCTGCCTGATGTGTGCCTAGCAATAAGAGACATCACACAGTGTACTGAGGCTTATGTGCAGATATCGCAAACATCATTCCAGCTAATTAACCCTATAGGGTGAAAACTGTCACCCTTTCAGATGAGACAGCCCAGTAGAGTGTTTAGCCGCACTGTCTCTTAGTTTTCTTGGGCTGCCCTCAAGAAGTACCACAGACTGGGTGGCTTAAACAACAGAAATTGTCTCACAGTGCTGGAAGCTGGAAGTCTGCAGACAAGGCATCAGCAGGGTTGGTGCCTTCTGAGGCTGTGGGGGAAGTTCTTCTCCAGGTCTCTCTCACTGGCTTGCAGAGGGCCATTTTCTGCATGTCTCTTCAGATCTTCCTCCCTCTGTGCATGTCTGTCTCTGCATCCAAATTTCCCCTTTGTAAGGACACCAGTCATACTGGATGAGGGCCCACCCTCATGGCCTCATTTCAACTTGATTACCTCTGTAAAGACTATGTCGCCAAATAAGGTCACATTCTCAGGTACCTCAGCAAATCTTTTTGTACAGGGGGACACAAAAGTGTCCCCAAATACCTGCTCCTGGTTCCCTGGAACACATCTCGCCTGAGCAGGGCTGCATCCTGGGGTGCTCTGGAGTCAGTCCTGAGCTTTGCACCCAGGAGATGAGAGGGTTAGAGTCATAACAGGCTTTGGGTAGCCGGGCTTGGATGGATCTTTTAGCTCGATTGCTTACTTGCTTTTCAACCTCACTAAACCTTGGCTTCCCCATTTGTAACAGGGGCATGGTGATATCTCCCCTGCACTCCTGTGGGTTGCTGTGTGGGTACTAAATGTGATCTCTGGCACTTCATGTGGTGCTTATTCAGCCCTCGTGTGTTTACTAGTGAGGGTAGCAGATGCTGGGGATGGCCCACCTCACATTCCAGTTCACCTGGGCTCCCCGTGGCTGCAGTGAGCTGAGCCACGCAAATACACAGCTGGCCTCATCAAGGGCACATGCCTCTTTCTCCGCCCAAGGGTTTCTCTGGTGCCATGGGAGCTTGCTCAGCCCAGGAAGAACAGTCTTGAAGCATCAAATATCTAACACCTCCAGGGGCAACCTCTGGCAATGAGGGACAAGGGTCAGTAGTTAAATCTCTAGCTTCCACATAATGATAATCCCCAGGTGTATCCTACAGGAGTCTCCAGCATGACTGGACCCACAATACTGATGAACGCAGCCTCTATCTGCGTTTCTCCTTTCCCTGACTTATTCTACTTATGCTTCCCCCAATAAATGATCTGCACCCAAGCTCTTGCTTCAAGGTTTGCTTTTGAGGCACCCTAAAACTGAGGAAATTGAGACTCAGAGAAGTTATGTGGTTTGGGCAAATGTAGACAGCTAAGGAGTGGTGTGCCCAAGACTTGAACTCTGACTTCTTTGGGCCCAAAGCCCTTTGGTCTAATTACCAGTGACCCCATTTCCAGTCCTGAATGCTTATTAGGCAGTTGTGTTCCCTCATTTTGTTTGTTCTCTTATGCCTTTATCCTCTTCTGAAAAGCCACAGTAAGGAAGCCATTTTATAGAGAAGAAAAACACCTCTCCATTTCTCTCCTGAGAACTGAACCTAACCCCAGTCTTCCTGCATATCCCCCTTGGCCCCCATGATACCTCCACTCCAGTGTGGAAGATATCAGAAGGACCTGTGAGGCTCCTCCCTGTAATCCCCAATGTAGCCAGGAGGGTGAAGCCATCTGGGTCCATGGAGCATTTACCTGAGTCAAGTCCTGAGCAGGACATGGCCACTGACAAACGAATAAGCCATGAATCTTACCCTGACAAAGTGGACAGTTTTATAGAGAAGAGCAAAACTGGGATAATCCATATTAGTACATTGCTTGAGTCAAATACATTGCAAGTACTTGACATTTTTGACCCCCAAAATCTGTGAGAATAATAAATATCATTGCTTTGAGTTGCTGGCATGGTTTGTTACGCAGAAGTAGTAGCCAAAACACCCTCCCATTCTCTATGTCCTATGTTCATGAATAAAACAATAACTCAAATGCATGGCACAAATAAATAATCTTTAATTTCAATAAATAGCTCCCTATCACACCAGACAATATGCTGTGGAAAAAGATACAGAAGCATCCAACAGAGAAAGAGAGAGGGAAAGATCTATCCTAACTACACTAATCCCTTAGCACGTGAGACAGGACTTTGGTTCACACACAAACAGAGAAAGATCCTCAGAGTATGATTAAGGAAGGAAATCACTGTGGATGGGGTATGGTGGCTGTGGTGGCCATTTTAATCCATGTGTCAGGTCCGTTGTTGGTCTTTTGTGAGTCACAGTCACCATGATTTGGTCAAAACATGTTATTTTGCTCTATCATATCCTATTTACTTGAACACACACACACACACACACACACACACACACACACACACACACACACAATTACTGTTGCCCAAGGTGGGTCTTTGACAGACAGAAGGACACTGGGTAAAATCTCACTTGACTGGGGAGACAAAGAGAAGGGAGTGCTCAGGGTTGAGGTCCCAGCCCATCACCTTTGCTCTCCAGGAGGACATGTAGGCACACATGTGTTCACCTGTGGGGGCACGCACACAAGAACATACATATACATACCCACAGGGAGTCCCCTGGAATAAGCGAACACAATGACAATTCAGTTAAGCCAGAAGAGGCTTCTTAAACTGACATATGTTTTATGGCCATTTGGTTTCTCCAAATAGTCTACACTCTAGTTATTACATTTACTAAGGAGAAGACAGATACTTACACCTTTGGAGAAAGGTATCAGGTTTGAAGAACCCCAGGGAACAGAAGCCTGTTCAGAAGTTACCTAGTGGGTGTGTGTGTTTTGGGAGTGGGTGGTCAGGTCTCCCACACACTAGCCAAACTCTTGGTAAATTTAGTCTTGATGGAGGTTGGCACCCTTTGGAGGTCCTTTCTCTGGCCTGAAAGTTGAAAGTGCATTTGGGGCAGGGGTATCAACAAGAGCAGACACTGCCAATAAGTCCCATGGCAGAGCCCACTCAGCTTGTGATCTAGAGATGGGGCTTCTAGAAAGTTCTCAGACCTCACTCATTGAGGGCGGCCATTTTGTGATCAGTAGTCAGCTTCCTCTCAGTTCTGAGAGGATTTAGGGTGGGGTAGGGTGGTGTGTGTGTGTGTGTGTAGACATGTTGTGAGTGTGTATGCGGGTGTGGATGTAATAGTATGTGACATTTTTTCTGTCTTTTTTTTTTTTTTTTACAGCTGTCTTCCCTGTAGCCCTCAGGTCACCTCCAGGGATGCTGGGGACACGCGGTCACACTCAGCTCGGGACCTCAAGCTGTGCCACTGCTCCACAGCGGTACGATGCGTGTTGAGCATACGCCGCCAGTGGTTAGATTCAGAGGGGCCTGAAGAGTACTGGCCGATGACGATCCTTCCAATGAAGTCGTTGCTGCTCTTCATGTTGTGGCCGAAAACTAGGAAACCAGAGGAGTAAGGGCAGGTGGGGAAGAGGGAAGACAAAGTAGGGGAACAGGACAGAAAGGCAAGGACAAGATAGAGGCCATTAATTTACACATTTCTCAACTGCAAACATGAGGTCATCACTTAGGGCACGTTGTCTTTTTCTATTCATGGCGAGGATTCTTTGATTCCCTTATTTCCTTATTTCATCCTCCCATGAGTCTCTCTGTGAGAGCCACACCCAGTTCCCTGCTGTCCCTTACCATGCCAGCCACGTTCCCACCTCCCAGCCTTTTCACTGGCTATCCCTACTGCCAGCTAGCTATACCACCTGCAACATGTAACCTGAAATATGTCCCACTGCCTCACCATGCTGCCTACAGAGTTCTACAAATGGATAGTTCTACTAAAACAGTGAGCCAATACTGTAGTCCAGTTGAGTGGTTAAACCAGAGTTTCTCATCAATTGTGGCACTGTTGACACAATCAATTGTGGCACTATTGGATAAATGCTTTGCTGTAGAGAACTGTTCTGTGCATTCTAGGGTGTTTAGAAGCATCTCTGATCTCTATCCATTAGATGCCATTAACAGCCGCCTCTCCAGCTGTGATAATCCAAAATGTCTCTGGACATGGCCCAATGACCCCTGAGGGGCCAATGTATCCTAGATGGTAACCACTAGGTTAAGCCATGGGCCATAGGCCATGGGGACAGACATGCTTGCTCTGTCATTTGATGAAACTCTGGAACTTTGAGGCTCAAGATAACCTCTCTGAGCCTAAGTTCCCTCATTAGTTAAATAGGAATCTTAGTAGCATTTTATCTCATAAGCCAATGTGCCATTTCTGTGAAATAATATGTGTAAAGTTCCAAGCACACAGAGCCCAACATGTGGTAAGAGATCAAGAAATGTTACTGCTATTTCAATCCTAAATTTCTGTCTATTGACCTTTTATAAAAGAGATCTCATGTTTCTTCTATTTCATGAAACAGTGTAAGTTTCATGAGCTGAGAGAAATGGTTGGTAATTTCTCTCATCCCTTATTGTGCTGCATGTCTCTTTGCAAAACTTCTCTGTTAATCCCAACTTAAGCTTAATTTGTGTCTTTCAAGCCTAATGAGATGGTTAACTTGATTTATCTTCCCAGCCAAGTTCTGCCTAATTCTTTATCTCCGTGTGGGTAGCCCAGGCATGCCATCTCGCTAATGGGAAAGCAGACTGCGTCTGTGTTATAAATGAAAGGATACAGAATGGAAAATATCACAGATTCGCCCAGCGTGAGGTGAGCAAAGGCGGGCTGGATCCCAGGAGGGATGCCGATTATCAAATAAACCAACTGAAAAATGTGGCCAAAAACAGAGCTTGAATGCTAACGAGCCTCTGTTCTCCCCTGTGGGCTTCACACCAAGAACTCCAAATGATGAAAATGGGGGGGGAAAAAAAGAAAACTGGAAAAACAAAACCAAAAACTCTCTTCATTGTCTAAAAGCCAAAAAGACTTAGGACAAAGTAGGGTAAGTGAAATGCAATGTCATCTCTATCAAAAGGGACAGGTACCTGTCAGCTCTGTGGAGAAAAATTGGATCATGTATATTTTTTGTACATGTGGTAACATGCTCAGTCTGCATAGGTGGATCTCATTTACATGCAAAAATCTTACAAAATGGAAACAACAGGAATGAAATCTCTGCTTAATAAAGGAAATTGCTAAGGAGATTTCTGATGCACTTAAGAAAATACCTTTTTTTGAATAGGTAACACTCGACTTTTTGACACCACATCTAGCGGGCAACGTAAGGTTTGATCTTTCCCAATGAGAGAAAGTTATCAGAGTCCCCTTCCCTGTGGTCCTCAGATCTAAAACAAGATACTATTATGAGGCTATCTGAGATCCCATTTGGTTTTCTTCTTTAGGGGCAAAATGTTCTATCTTCCTCTTCTCCAAATCTCAAGAATGACAATGTAGAAACATCTCTTGTAATTGGGTATGGGTTCTACTTCTTTGGGAAAGAGGTTTAAGAAAGGAACTCTCAAGTACCCTCACATGCTGTTGGTGGAAGAGCAAATTGGTTGAACTTCTGGGATGTTTCATGGGTATCTGCTCAAAATATAAATGTCATAATTCACAACTCAACAATTTCACTAGGAATTTATCCCATAGAATTGTCTACGTAAATGGACAAAGATACACATACCAGGATATTTTATATAGCAGGAGCTGGCCAACTAGAGCCTCCAAGTCAAATCTGAACCGTTACCTATTTTTGTAAATAAAGTTTTATAGGAACATAGTCAAACCCATTTGTTTATATAATGTTATTTTTGTGCTAAAAGGGCAGAGTTGATGTCTCAGGCTTTTGGGGCTGCCATAACAAAATTCCATAAAATGAGTTTCTTATAAACAACAGACATTTATTTCTTACAGTTCTGGAGGCTGAGAAGTCCAAGATCAAGCCACTGGCAAATTCAGCATTTGGTGAGGGCCTGCTTCCTCATAGATGACATCTTCTCACTGAGTCCTCACATGGTGTCAGGAACAAGCTAGCTCTCCAGGGTATCTTTTATTTGGGCATTAATTCCAATCACGAGGGCTCCACTTTCATGACCTACTCACCTCCCAAAGGCCCCACCTCCTAATATCATCATCTTAGGTTAGGATTTCAACATATAAGTGTGAGGGGGACATAAACATTCAGAACATAGCAGTTGAATAATTTGGAGAGAGATCATGTGGCCCTCAACACCTCAAATATTTACCATCCGTTTGGCTAATCCATGTTGTAGCATTACTTTTTATGGCCAGATAACATTCCATATATGAATACGCCACATTTCACTTATCCATCAGTTGATGGACATTTGGGTTATTTCCATTTCTTGACTATTATAAATAATGACACTGTAAACATTCATGTACAAGTTTTTAAGGCCATTTATTATTTCAAGTATATAAAATGTCTAGAATAGACAAATCTTTACAGACAGAAACCATACTAGTGGTCACCAAGGATTGAGGGAAGGGGAGATGGGGAATTCTTTCATGGAGTAATAAAAATGCTCCAGAATTAGATAGTGGTTTTGGTTGTACAACTTTGCAAATATACTACAAAGTGCTGAACTGTATACCTTAAAAGGGCGAATTTCATGTTATGTGAGTTTTATCTCCATTTTGAAAAATTGCCAAAAGGGAATGCAAAAAACATTACTATCTGGCCCTTTACAGAAAAGTTTTCCAAACTCATTGGGTTTGTAAGAATGAAAAACTGTCAGTGCACTGCCCAACCCCTCAGCCCACCTTGGGGCTACTCACAGCTTCTGTGGAGAGTGTCCCACCTCAAGCACCTGAAGCTTCCTGCCTGAGCCATGCCAGTCTGCCTATGCTCACTGTGATTGACAGTGAGGGCTTTGGGCCACTCATATCAGCTTGACTTCTGAAGGGGCTAAAGGCTAGAGTCAGTCTCTCAGATGTCAGCCATGCCTCTGTGACTCACGCCAATGAAATATCCTGGACACAGAGGCTCGGGTAAACTTCCCTGGAAGGCAATGCTCTGAGCATGTTGCCACACATCACTTCTGGGAGAATTAAGCACTGTCCACACAGCTCACACATGGTCTCTCTTGGAATCTGTGCTTGTCATAGTCCGTCTGTGCTATCACAAATTACTATCAACTGGGTGGTTTACAAAGAACAGGAGTTTCTCTCTCTCTCTCTTGTCAGGGTCTCACTCTGTCACCCAGGCTGAAGTGTACTGGCATGCTCACAGCTACCACAGCCCCAATCTCCTGGACTTAGTCAATCCTTCCACCTCAGCCCTTCAAGTAGCTGGAACTACAGGAGTGCACCACCACACCTGGCTAGTTTTTCTGAATTATTATAGAGACAAGGTCATGCCAAATTGTCTAGGATGGTCTCGAACCACTGGGCTCAAGCAATCCTCTCACCTCCACCTCCCAAAGTGCTGGAATTACAGGCATGAGCCACCATGCCTGGCCAGGAATTTATTTCTTATAGTTCTAGAGCTAGGAAGTCCAAGATGAAGATGACAGCAGATTCAGTGTCTGGTGAGGACTTATTCTCTGATTCACAGATGATGCCTTCTTACCGAGTCCTGAAGGAACAAGGCAGTTCTCTGGGGTTTCCTTTAAAGGGCACTAATCCCATTTACCAAGGCAGAGCACTCCTGGCCTAATCACCCCCAAAGGCTCCACCTCTTAATACTACCATATTGGGGATTATAATTCAACATAAACATTTTAGGGAGATACAAACACTCAGACCATAGCAGCAATCTTTCACTTTGCTATTTTAGTCTATATCTTTTTATATAACAAACTGTAACCATGAGAATAACAGCTTTTCTAGGTTCCAAGTCCTTCTAGCATATATCTGAACCTGAGGGTGGTTTTGCAGACCTCTTAAACTGCAGAGACCCACTCATCCAATGTCTTAGAATAGTTTGCCTTCTTCTCCTGTCTCACTTGCCATTCCCTCATTGATGCTTCCTGGGACACCTCCATAGTAGCCAACTGGTACTCAAGCCATCATCTTAAGATCAGTTTTGTGCCAGGTGCAGTGGCTCGTGCCTGTAATCCCAGCACTTTGGGTGGCCGAGGTGGGAGAATTGCCTGAGCTTAGAAGGTTGAGACTGTGGTGAGCTGTGATCATGCCACTGTACTCCAGCCTAGGTGACAGAGTGAGACCCTAACTAAAAAACAAAAAAAAAATAGGAGGCACCTACACTAAGATTGGAGGGGACTAATTAAATAATTTCTGATGTGATCATACCATAGAAATCCATGCCACTGTTAAAAATGAGACAGACCTATATATACGAAATGAAAAAATCTGCAAGACATATTGCTAGGAGACAAAAGCATATTTTTGTTAAAAAGAATGCTAATATATGTAAAGAAAACAATATTTGGAGAAATGTTCACCAAACTGTTCAGTGCAGCTCTCTGGGGATGGGGGGAGGTGCAGAGGGGAGAGGGAAATTTCCACTTTCTGTGTT